TTTGGAGGGGTTCGGGAGGGTTCGGGGGGATCTGAGCCCCCTCCCCAGAGTTCGGGCAGGGTTTTGGGGTGGGTTCGGGAGGGTTCGGGGGGGTTCGGGAGGGTTCGGGGGGGTTTGGAGGGGTTCGGGAGGGTTCGGGGGGATCTGAGCCCCCTCCCCAGAGTTCGGGCAGGGTTTTGGGGTGGGTTCGGGAGGGTTCGGGGGGGTTCGGGAGGGTTCGGGGGGGTTTGGAGGGGTTCGGGAGGGTTCGGGGGGATCTGAGCCCCCTCCCCAGAGTTCGGGCAGGGTTTTGGGGTGGGTTCGGGAGGGTTCGGGGGGGTTCGGGAGGGTTCGGGGGGGTTTGGAGGGGTTCGGGAGGGTTCGGGGGGATCTGAGCCCCCTCCCCAGAGTTCGGGCAGGGTTTTGGGGTGGGTTCGGGAGGGTTCGGGGGGGTTCGGGAGGGTTTGGGGAGATTCGGGGGGGTTCGGGGGGGGCTCTGAGCCCCCTCCCCCGGGCTCGGGGTGGTTCGGGGAGGGGTTCGGGGATTTGAGGGGTGGGCTGGGCGGTCCCGGCGGGGGGTGACGCCCCCTCCCCCGGGCTCAGGGTTGGTTCGGGGAGGGGTTCAGGGGTCCCGGCGTGGTCTGACGCCCCCTCCCCCTGGCTCAGGGATTTGAGGGGTGGGCTGGGCGGTCCCGGCGGGGTCTGACGCCCCCTCCCCCGGGCCGCGCCCCCTCCCCAGAAGCAGCGGGAGCCGTTCCGGGGCCGGGTGCTGTTCTGCGGGCACGGCTCGCTGGAGCGGGACGGGGTCTCGCTGCTGCTCAGCGATGACGGCGGCCGCAGCTGGCGCCGGGGGGGGGTCCTGCCCGCCATCCCCTTCGGAGCCCCCCGGCGCCCCCGAGACTTCACCCCCGACGAGTGCCAGGTGCCCAGACCCCTCCCCAGTTATCCCTCGGCTTTTGGGGCGGGGGTCTCGCATTCATTTGTGTCTCCTCCTCGTTTCTCTCTGTTTTTGGGGCGGGGGTCCCGCACTGATTTGTGCCCCCACCGTTCCTCTCTCTCATTTTGGGGCGGGGGTCCCGCACTGATTTGTGTCTCCCCCCATTTATTCTCTGTTTTTGGGGAGGGGGTCCCAGACTGATTTGTGCCCCTCCCCGTTTATTCTCTGTCTCGTTTTGGGGAGGGGTCTCCCCGTGTTTTCCCCCACATTTCTCATTTTGGGGAGGGGTCCCCCTGTTTCCCACCTCCCATTTCTCATTTTGGGGAGGGGTCTCCCCGTTTATTCTCTCTCATTTTGGGGAGGGGTCTCCCCCTGTTTCCCCCCCCATTTCTCTCTCTCATTTTGGGGAGGGGTCCCCCTGTTCCTTCTCTCATTTTGGGGAGGTGTCTCCCCGTGTTCCCCCCCCCATTTCTCATTTTGGGGAGGGGTCTCCCCCTCTTCCTCCCCATTTCTGATTTTGGGGAGGGGTCTCCCCCTGTTTCCCCCCCCATTTCTCTCTCTCATTTTGGGGAGGGGTCTCCCTGTGTTTCCCCCCCCTCATTTCTGATTTTGGGGAGGGGTCTCCCCCCCGTGTTTCCCCCCCAGCCCTACGAGCTTCCGGACGGTTCCATCGCCGTCAGCATCCGGAACCAGAACCAGTTCCGGTGCCGGTGCCGGATGGTGGCGCGGAGCTGGGACGGGGGCGAGACGCTGCCCCCGGCCGCCGTGACCTTTGACCCCGCGCTGCCCGACCCGGCCGTGGCCGCGGGGGCCGCGGTGACCCAGGGGCTGGTGCTGTTCAGCAACCCCGCCCACGAGAGCCAGCGTGAGTGAGGGGACACCGGGGGGACACCGGGGGGATTGGGGGGGATTGGGGACATTGGGGACATTGGGGACATTGGGGACATTGGGGACATTGGGGGGACAATGGGGACATTGGGG